TGACACGAAGTATTTGCTAGTCTAGTACTGGAGAAATTAGCGTTTGGATGCGCATTGTGAGCCTTTAAGATTATTAGGGAATATTTCTACATAGAGTAATATCGTTTGTCACTTCACAATAACTAAATATCCTAAAAAATGAGGTGATATGAAAAATGATTATATTTGAAACTCATTGTGTCGTTAGGTAGAAGTTCTTCTTTCTGGTCAACAATGTATATATGGTCTCAAAGTGATCTTATACAAACATTTTTTTTCTCTTATGCTGTGCATTCCTAAAGCATTTGTGTACAAACAACACACACATAATGTAAAATTTTTTATTATTTAACAACAAATGCATGGACGTGTACACAGTGGCGTAGCCAGGATTTTTTGACAGGGGGGGGGCAAAAACAGTAAACTGCACAAAATAGTGGATGGTCCCCCACCCTACGCTCCCCCACCTCTCAGCTCTGCAATCTTTGTTTTGGGCACCATGCAAAAAGGCGACAGTTTTGTTCGTTGTTCTCTGTTCCCAAGATATGTAACTGTTCAGTCGTGGATCTGGGATTCCAAGGAAGGGGGGTGAAAAAAAGGCGGAGGGTATGGGGGTTCTCCCCCAGAAAATTTTGAAAATGTAGATCACAGGAGATGGTATTTGAGGCACTTTTGAGTACATGTACAGCCTTCATTCTGACTATGACAGTTCTCTTTTTAGTACAACTATATATTTTTTTAACTTTCGTATCAACAGGGGGGCCATGACCCCCTTTGGCCCCCCTAACTATGCCACTGCATGTACATGTAAAAATCTCTGTAGTTTATATTAATCAGTCAATTCTTTCTGCCTTTCAAGGTTCTAATTTGGTCTTGCGAGCAATACGGGCAATGGTTGGGGACGACTGTGACGAGGCAAGTATATTATCGGGTGTGCTAATGCAATTTTGCACTGCGTATCTTTAGCTATACTATTAGATAGTTGCAGTAATCACAAACAATTCCGTAACGTAATTTGCGAAATTACCCCCGGTTGCCTGAAGCTATGGCCTATGTATGTACGTAACTCCCAATTATGAAAATAAACCTGAAATATATAGTGTCTGATACGCAAGTCACAACAGCTGGCGGTTAGTTGATCTCTTTAGTTAAAATGATAAAATTGGCACATTACCTTGTATTTTATAGCCAGTGAAAGCTGTAAACTGTATTAAAATGATTATCTTTAGAATACATTAAAAAACAGATCTCGTGAGAATTCCAGCTCGGTGCATATAGTGGTAAAAATTATGACGTGTAAGTGTTCTAAGACATGTTAGCTTTACTTTATACACTTGGTGTTGCATAATGAGTACCGGAAAGTACCAGAATAATCAGAAATGTGAGAATGGCTGGGAAAACATGAGAAATCATTACTTATAAAAAATTCTGTCATGAGATTTAACAAAGCCACTGGATGCACTCAAAAGTGTGGGCACTAATCAGCATGTAAGTGGAAATGTCATAAATGTATTGCTGGTGAAAATAATCAATTTGTATAAAATTTAAATGGTATTTAGAATGATTTTATTATAGAAATTGCACTATCGAATGCCATTCCAATTTCTCAGTAGTTTTGTTTCATATTTGTAGGTGTTACGAAAAAACATCGGTGTTATTCGCTGTTATATATTTATCTATATTTATTTATTAGCTCATCTGACATAGTCAGATGCAGCTTGTAGAATCGCATGATCGTCCGTCCGTCCGAGCGTCCGAGCGTCCGTCCGTCCGTCCGTCAACAGTTGGGCACAAATCTTAACCGCTCGACGTACGGTCACGATATTCGGGACGTGAGGAGGGGTAATCCGAAAACGAGTTGGGATA